GAGAAGCCGGGGAAGACCGCCGATTAAGGTACAGAAGGAAATTTGAACAATGGAATTGCAACTGGGAGGAGTATCTGATGCAGTGTTCTTCAGTAAATATCATGGACAGAGCTGCATGGAAGGAAGTCCACGATCACTGGTGTATTTGGCTGGAGCGACTGTGCACCTAATTTCATACAAAACTCGAGTATTTTTTATTTTAAAAGGCATAAGTCTTTTTCAGAAGTGACCTGGCCACAAATAATAGCCCAACGAAGTGGCTTATCATGTCGAAATGTATAGCAGCCAAATACTCTAAACGCAATATTCTAAATGCGGAGGGAAACACCGGAGTACCCGATTAATAATACATGCGACCACGGGGAGAACATGCAAACTCCAAACATGCACGCGTCAGGGCCGGGAGCGAACCCATGCCCTCCTGTATACCAGGCGATGTAGTTAACATCTTGCCACCGCAGCGCCTCAAGGGGCATTCTGAGATTCTTCTGGATCGCGGGAGATGATGTAAGTTTTGCGAGACCTTCAACGAGGAGTGGAATGACCATGGCGGTTGATGATCATGATGAAAGGGTACGCGTTAACTAAACACTTACATTTTTATTCTTAGAACGAGCGTTCAAAAATAGGAGACCCAATGGAAAAAAAAATAATCGGAGTCTCCCCGGTGAAATTTTTTACTTTTATGTGCATTCAAAAATATATTCTTATTTCTTTTCAAAAGAAAATGCAAACTACCAAACTGCATCTGGCACGCAAACACAAGCTGTGCTGGAAGATTGCTCTGCGTAATGTCATGCAATGACATTTACACGTTAACATTTTAATGGTTTGATTTTAATGTTTAATTTATCTTCGCGATGTAACTTCCACTGTAGTTTTCCACCTTTGCCGAGCCCAGCTGGGGCTGGACGCCAGTGTAGAATGAGCTTCGTAGCACATGGGATCCTTCCAGAATACATTGTCAGATTTTGGAATAAATCACTGTGTCCCAGAATAAATCATTGGGTTCCAGAATAAAACATTGCCTTGCATAATAGAACATTGCCTTCCAGTATGAATCATCGAGTTCTTATAAATCACTGGGTTCCAGTGCAAGTCATTGGTTTATTCCACGATAAATCAAATGTCTATGTCTATGAATACCATGCAGATTTCATACTTTTAAATTCGCGACATTTTGCGTATTTGGACATGTTAGATATGCGTTTAGAATTTTTGGTTTGAAAATCTGAACACTGGTTTTAGTTTGAAATTTCCTTCCATACCGATCCGAAAATGTGATGTCACCGGCAGTGACGTCACTTCTCTGGCATCACTGCCATGCTTGTATTGCCACACATGCGATGGCATGACGTTGCTTTTGCATATGTTATTAAATGAGAATGTTTACGTTACAAATATTATTTGACCAATGGCACTGTACGGTAAAACGTGCCATTGTTGTGTATTACACTAGCATCCCGCACATCCTTTGGACATGACCGTCTGTCCATCCCTCCCTCACAGGCAGCCAGCCATCCAGCAAAACCTTTACTCTTCTATATAGCCCTGCCTCTCTCCACCTTTCTCCTGCCGTATCTGTGTCGGGTATCCCAATTCGTCTCGATATCTCGCTTTGTCTCTGCTTCCATCTCTTTCTCTATTCCTCTCTCCCCTCTTCTATCTTTCCCTCCCTCGATTCCCTCTCCACTCTATCTCAGTGTTCTTAGCGAGTCGCACCTATGAAGCCGGCACGGCACACGAGGGCGTGGGTGGCCAGCGACCACACCCGAGTTTACACACCGCGCCAGGTGCCCATTTAAGGCTGAGTCGACATAGGGGAGGCCCAGGACCGATTTTCAGATATTCGGCACTGTTATTGGTCGTGAGTTGGAATCGAACTCGGACACAGGAGCAGTTGTGACGCATCCTCGTGTTACGCGCTGAGATGCCTTCGGGTGTGTAACAGCATGTCCAGGTGCGCTATGGGCGCATCTTATATGTAAACAATGGTGAAAGTCATCCATCCGTGTGTGATGTTTGTGTACTAGTGTGTGTGTGTGGCCTTCATAGGTGTTGGCTAATAACACTTGTCCCAACAGCCTGTCTTTGTTGGGGTGTGTGCTGTTTTGATGTGCATGCAGTGAGGGAAAAAAGTATTTGATCCCCTGCTGATTTTGTACGTTTGCCCACTGACAAAGAAATCATCAGTCTATAATTTTAATAGGTTTATTTGAACAGTGAGAGACAGAATAACAACAAGAAAATCCAGAAAAACGCATGTCAAAGATGTTATAAATTGATTTGCATTTTAATGAGGGAAATAAGTATTTGACCCCCTCTCAATCAGAAATATTTATGGCTCCCAGGTGTCTTTTTACAGGTAACGAGCTGAGATTAGGAGCACACTCTTAAAGGGAGTGCTCCTAATCTCAGCTTGTTACCTGTATAAAAGACACCTGTCCACAGAAGCAATCAATCAATCAGCTTCCAAACTCTCCACCATGGCCAAGACCAAAGAGCTCTCCAAGGATGTCAGGGACAAGATTGTAGACCTACACAAGGCTGGAATGGGCTACATGACCATTGCCAAGCAGCTTGGTGAGAAGGTGACAACGGTTGGTGCGATTATTCACAAATGGAAGAAACACAAAAGAACTGTCAATCTCCCTCGGCCTGGGGCTCCATGCACGATCTCACCTCATGGAGTTGCAATGATCATAAGAACGGTGAGGAATCAGCCCAGAACTACACGGAAGGATCTTGTCAATGATCTCAAGGCAGCGGGGACCATAGTCACCAAGAAAACAATTGGTAACACACTACGCCGTGAAGGACTGAAATCCTGCAGCGCCCGCAAGGTCCCCCTGCTCAAGAAAGCACATACATGCCCGTCTGAAGTTTGCCAATGAACATCTGAATGATTCAGAGGACAACTGGGTGAAAGTGTTGTGGTCAGATGAGACCAAAATGGAGCTCTTTGGCATCAACTCAACTCGCCGTGTTTGGAGAAGGAATGCTGCTTATGACCCCAAGAACCGTCAAATATGGAGGTGGAAACATTATGCTTTGGGGGTGTTTTTCTGCTAAGGGGACAGGACAACTTCACCGCATCAAAGGGACCATGGACGGGGCCATGTACCGTCAAATATTGGGTGAGAACCTCCTTCCCTCAGCCAGGGCATTGGAAATGGGTCGTGGATGGGTATTCCAGCATGACAATGACCCAAAACACACGGCCAAGGCAACAAAGTAGTGGCTCAAGAAGAAGCACATTAAGGTCCTGGAGTGGCCTAGCCAGTCTCCACACCTTAATCCCATAGACAATCTGTGGAGGGAGCTGAAGGTTCGAGTTGCCAAACGTCAGCCTCGAAACCTTCATGACTTGGAGAAGATCTGCAAAGAGGAGTGGGACAAAACCCCTCCTGAGATGTGTGCAAACCTGGTGGCCAACTACAAGAAACGTCTGACCTCTGTGATTGCCAACAAGGGTTTTACCACCAAGTACTAAGTCATGTTTTGCAGAGGGGTCAAATACTTATTTCCCTCATTAAACTGCAAATAAATGTATAACATTTTTGACATGCGTTTTTCTGGATTTTGTTGTTATTCTGTATCTCACTGTTCAAATAAACCTACCATTAAAATTATAGACTGATCATTTATTTGTCAGTGGGCAAACGTACAAAATCAGCAGGGGATCAAATACTTTTTTCCCTCACTGTACGTGTGTAATGGTGTTGATGTGTGTATGCATGTATTTTGGCGTGTGTGTACCTGCTCTGTAATTGTGTGTGTTGTATTGTGTACAGCACTGGTGTATTTTTTATCCTGTGTAAGTGTGTATTGCATATTTGTGTGCAAACGACATTTGGATGTTTGTCGACTAATTGATGTGTACTAGGTGTGGAAATTAGTGTATTCTGGTGGGGGTAGTAGTGATGATGTGTTCTGGTTGTGTGGTGGTGATGGTGTGTTCTGGTTGTGTGGTGGTAGTGGTGGTGATGGTGTATTCTGGTGGGGGTAGTAGTGATGGTGTGTTCTGGTTGTGTGGTGGTGATAGTGTGTTCTGGTGGGGGTAGTAGTGATAGTGTGTTCTGGTTGTGTAGTGGTGATGGTGTGTTCTGGTGGGGGTAGTAGTGATAGTGTGTTCTGGTGGGGGTAGTAGTGATGGTGTGTTCTGGTGGTGTGGTACTGATGGTGTGTTCTGGTGGTGTGGTAGTGATGGTGTGTTCTGGTGGTGTGGTAGTGATGGTGTATTCTGGTGGGGGTAGTAGTGATGGTGTGTTCTGGTGGTGTGGTAGTGATGGTGTGTTCTGGTTGTGTGGTAGTGATGGTGTGTTCTGGTGGTGTGGTAGTGATGGTGTGTTCTGGTGGTGTGGTGGTGATGGTGTGTTCTGGTGGTGGTAGTAGTGATGGTGTGTTCTGGTTGTGTGGTAGTGATGGTGTGTTCTGGTGGGGGTAGTAGTGATGGTGTGTTCTGGTTGTGTAGTGGTGATGGTGTGTTCTGGTTGTGTAGTGGTGATGGTGTGTTCTGGTGGGGGTAGTAGTGATAGTGTATTCTGGTGGGGGTAATAGTGATGGGGTGTTCTGGTGGTGTGGTAGTGATGGTGTGTTCTGGTGGTGTGGTGGTGATGGTGTGTTCTGGTGGTGTGGTACTGATGGTGTGTTCTGGTGGTGTGGTAGTGATGGTGTATTCTGGTGGGGGTAGTAGTGATGGTGTGTTCTGGTGGTGTGGTAGTGATGGCGTGTTCTGGTGGTGTGGTAGTGATGGCGTGTTCTGCTGGTGTGGTAGTGATGGTGTGATAGTATTCGAGTGTGTTCCCATGGCTCTCATAGTGTAAGTAGTGGTGGTGTGGTAGTGTTAGCAGTGGTGGTGTGGTAGTGTTGATGGCGGTGTAATGGTGTGGTAGTGTTATTATTGATGGTGTGGTGGTGTTAGTAGTGGTGGTGGTGCGTTGTGGTAGTTGTGGTATTAGTAGCCTTAGTGCTGTGGGTATGCACAGGAATATTCTCACCATCTCTGCACCTACCCGCACTTGGGCTGCACTTTCTCAGAGGTGTTCCACCGAATGTGGATGGAGGATGAGAGAGCGGGAGAGCGAGGAGGCGTTGTGAGGAGCGAGAAAAGCGAGAGAGAGAGTGAGCTATGTGGGGGGAGAGAGGGAGGGGAGGAGGAGGGGAGGATGGATGTATGGAGGTGATGGTCGCAGACACAAACCCGAGACGAAATCAATTGTGAAAGAAACCACACGGTATTGATGAGTCCCAATGCGTTATCGATTAACAACAATATGTACACACGCAAAAAAAATTGCCATGTCCCAAATAATGCTGCCACAGTCGTTCCGTAGCCATCAAAATGTGAATGAACATTCCAAACCTTACAATAGGAGACTTACAACAGAGGGCACAGCAGCGTGTAATAATTACAACGTTTAGCATCGTCGAATGCGGTTATGCTGACAATATTACCTCGTGTAAAGCATCGAACAGCTCTTAGCACACATTCTCACTTGACAATGTGTCTTCGCGGGAGATGTTATCTTTAGAAACTAAAGATAACGCCTCCACGATTAACATCTTGGTGAGACGCCTTATTGAGGCGCTCGTGGATGAACAGCGTCTCGACGTGACAGGATCCCGAGAATCTGCACACAAAGAGCGGGGCAGGATGACTGTCTTATAGGGAAAGAAGCAGTCCGCCTGAGATCTCGACTACAAGTCTGTGGCTCTCCATGGCAGTCTATGTTTCTCTAGTTAATATGCAGCTCACTCTGTGACTCTTCATGGGTCCCTATGCGAGAATATGGATCTCTGTACATATCTTTGGATCTTTATTACAGTTATTGGTCTCGATATGAGTCTAAATTCTGTGGGTAGTATATAGGTCACTGTGCGAGTCTCTATGGGTCCTTAACTGAGTATTGTATAAGGGAGACTATACAAGTATATGGTTCTCTATGACATTATCTTGGTCTCTATATGCGTCGATATGTATCTAAGTAATATGTGTGTCACTGCGAGTCTCCGTGAGTTGATGGGCCCCTATGTAAATATATGGCATGTGTATCTGAGTCCATGCATCTGTATGAGTGTCTATATGTGTCTGAGTCTAGGGGTCTGTATGTGAGTCTATTGGTCTTTATGCGAGTCCATTGGGTCTCTGTGGGAGTCTGTGTACCACTCTATGTGAGTATCTGCATCTGTGTGAGTCTATACAATCTTAATACAATGTGAATTATACAGCATCGATATTTTACTGCATCCCAGGAGGCCAATCAGCAAGAATGGGCATATTTGTGTTGCATATAGAGAGGCAGTCGAAGGCCGAGAAGGTCTGAAGCCTGAACTTGACTATCTGAACCAACACAAATTACATTTAATTAGACCTCCATTCTATCTCCACATTTATAATCATATGTTTTAGACTTTCCAGACCAAAATAATCCAGTAAGCATTATCTTAAGCAAGCAAACTCTGCCTTGGTTTCAAGTCTTCTGGCTCTCATCAGTAGAGTCAACTTTGTCAAACAAATGTTGCTGATCGATAATATGGATTAACAAATGTTGCTGAGTTACTGGATATTATTTGCAAGAGCAATCCATGTACACTCTGGGACGCCGTTAACGCAAACGCTTATGTACAATATTCAAAATGTGACATGGAAACGCAACACATTCGGCAAAAACACGTTGGCCTGAATTATAAAAAGTATACACAATAGTTGACCTTTCGGGTTTTGGCAGATCTTCAGATAGGCCAGAGAGGTAGCGATAATTGTTCTTTGAAACACTAACAAAAAATCAGCTCCGTGTCTTCGCAGTGCTAAGTCAAGGGCTCCATGTACAACAGACGTGAGAATTGAGACGTTGGCAAAGTGTGAGGTGTATTTCCAAGCACGTCCTGGAAGAGAAGGCGTGCATGTCTCTAGAATTGACACCAGAGGGCAGCAGAGCACAACCGGCGTGAATTCAACGCAACCAACACAACCACAGACGGACACGTATATGTACCGATATATACCTACGAACCCGGCGCACCGAGTTCGATTCCCGCTCACGGCCAACACCAATGACGATTATCGTGGGCCTCCCCTAGGTCGACTCTGCCTCAAATGCGTACTTGGTGCGGTGTGTGAGCATCGCTACTGTGGAGAAAAAGGTGGTCGGGCGTGGTGCTGGGCACTCGCACGGTCTCGTTGGACCCTTCTCGCCTTCATCGGTGCTTGCCCCAACAGTCTCTTGAAGGCTGTACGAGGGATCTTTGTCTTTGTATATTTACAATGCTTTGAAGAATGGCCCGAAACGTCACCTATATTTATTTACCATTTAAGGCCACACAGTGTTATAGACGAGCGTGTTGAGTGTTTGCTCTTTGTGCGTGTACGCCACTGCAAAAACGCAACAGGAAGCATCTTGACTAGATAATTCGTTGAATAACCGGATTATAAGAGGCGGTGCATCTTCCCCCCCCCCCCAATTCTGGGTAACGGTGAGTCTGATTGTCCAGAGAGTATGGTATGAGTCACACATTCGTTTATAATGCCACTGTGTTTAATTATCTGCGAGTGGTGGTACGGTAGTTTGCCCACTTAACCGTATCCCATGTCCACGTCATCTCTTAAAAGTTTTCGAAAAGCGTACTTTTAATGTTTTCTGATTTAAATGTAGAGTATTTAGATGTAAATAGCTTTCGCTGTGTACGTATTAACTGTAATCACTCCACTTAGAATATGTTGAACAATACTGTAATTTAATTTGAACAAACGTACAAACAATGTGTGACGTTTCATTTACCCGCTCATCCGCAAGTTTCTCATCCAGTCGATTTTCGGATTTTTTGGAATGAATCCGAAAATCGAAAACGTTTCTCAATAACACTGAGAGCGTTTAAAGCAAGGACATAATACAGTTAAATAAAGAAGGGCCGTTGCCCGAAACGTCCCTTAATATATTTTCTTTGAACGCCACACTGTTATTGACGAATGTGTGGAATTTTTATTTTTTTAATTTAGCACATGCTTTGCACGTGACCTTCAAAAATTATTTGAAACTGATTTGTTTTCAATTTACATTTTGGGTTTTCCGAATTCCCCTGCTCCCCCCTGCGAAGCGGGAACTTGAGAGGGCAAGCCGCAGGCGGCTGTCAAACAGAAACCACCTCTCGTCCAGCGGCACACGTGGGGGCACGAGGTCCACCTCCACACGTGGGGCCACGAGGTCCACCTCGTGCCTCCACGTGTGCCGCTGGGCCACTTCCCCTCCCCAACTGTTTTCGCAATGTCCGTTTATTAGTCGTTGTAAAATCGAACCGATAATTAATCGGTAATTGATCAGCTGAGCTCTATCAAAGACAAAGGCCCCCCGTATAGCCTTCACATATTTTGGGGGGAAGTACTGTTAGCGAGCACCTTCAGCTCTGCCACAGACACAGTAAGTAAATATATTTAAGCAATGTTTAACTTTTAACAAATACTTAACATGTGACCTCTTTCATATACCCACTACACATCTACCAGTACACGTACAAACGTTGTGCCAACGTTGACCCAACGTTTGCATGTTTACTGAGCTGGCCAGTGCGGAAGAGTAGGCCAAATACACAACCCTCCCAGAGGGGATCTCTAGAGTTCGGTGGCTTTCCACCAACAGAGAGGGCTTCATAATTGGAAAACTAATTTCGTTTTTTTAACGTTACATTTGGGCTGGGTTTTCCCAGCTCTGGACTCTTTCACAAAAACAGGGATACAGAGAGAGGGGGGAGCCGCAGGAGTGGCTGTCAAACCAAAAAAAATTGAATCTGCAAAATGGGGGAGGGCGGGGGGGGAGAGACGGGGGGAGGTAAGAAATAATAAACATTTGTAAAGTTCACACTGCACGTAGTACCACTCTACTATCAGCCTGGCAATTGATAACATTTCAGTCAAATAAAAAGTCCCGTGTTACAACCGACGGCTGGCATTTTCCACAAACCCTCACCCTCACCTCCCCACGCCGGCGGGGGGTGCTGGGGTGGGGGCGATTATAGAATGTCCGTAGGCGATTCCCGTAAGCCGAGCCGACACGGCGGTGCCAACCACAGACTCCCTCCCTCCCGCCACGCTCCATCACCCCCAGTCCCCTATGGGGGCGTGTGCGGCAAGACAGACGTGCACAGAGACAGTCTCGATGCCACACCGACAGTGGGTCTGCCTGTGACCGTGAGTGTGTCTGGCTGTCGGGGAGCGGTGGTGTAGTGGTTAGCGCTACGCTGCGCTACGAACCCGGCGACGCGAGTTCAATTCCCGCTCACGGCCAACATCGGTGATGATTATTTAAACCGGTCCCGGGTCTCCCCTAGGTCGACTCAACCTCAAATGAGTACCTGGTGCGGTGTGTAAACATCGCCACTGGGGAGACAAAGGCGGCCAGGTGTGGTGTTGGCCACTCACCCCTTCGTGTGCCGTGCCGGCCTTCATAGGTGTGGTACTCGCTAGCAGCACTTGCCCCAACAGTCTGTACAGGCTGTTCTTGGGCTCTTGTCTGGCTGTGTCTGTGTCCGAGTGTCTGGCTGTCTGTGTTTATTTTGCTGTGTGTCTGGCTGTGTCTGGCTGTGTCTGTGTCCGTGTGTGTGTCTGGCTGTGTCTGTGTTTATTTTGATGGCTGTGTCTGGTTGGTTTTGTGTGTCTGGCTGTCTGTGTGTGTCTGGATAGCTGAGTCTGCGTATGTCTCGCTGGCTGTGTTTGACTGGCTGTGTGTGTTTGCCTGGCTGTGTGTTTGACTGGCTGTGTGTCCCGCTGGCTGTGTGTGTGTGACTGGCTGTGTGTCTGGCTGTGTGTGTTTGACTGGCTGTGTGTCTCACTGGCTGTGTGTGTTTGACTGGCTGTGTGTGTCTCGCTGGCTGTGTGTTTGACTGGCTGTGTGTCTCGCTGTGTGTGTTTGACTGGCTGTGTGTCTCGCTGGCTGTGTGTTTGACTGGCTGTGTGTCTCGCTGGCTGTGTATGTCTCGCTGGCTGTGTGTCTCGCTGGCTGTGTGTTTGACTGGCTGTGTGTCTGGCTGTGTGTGTTTGACTGGCTGTGTGTCTCGCTGGCTGTGTGTTTGGCTGTGTCTCGCTGGCTGTGTGTGTTTGACTGGCTGTGTGTCTGGCTGTGTGTGTTTGA